CAAGTGGTGGTGGTGCAAGCCTTTAATCCCAGCACTCAGGATCTCTGAGAGTTTGAGATCAGCCTGGTCTACAAAGCAAGTTCCAATACTGGCTCCATTAGCTATTGAGAAACCCTGTCTCAAAAAACGGGGAAAAAAGAAATGAAATAAAAACAAACAAACAAAAAAGAATAAAAAAGAAAGGAAAAGAAAAAAGGGTGTATAGGTATGATAAGATAAAAAGGTAGATTACTGAATCTACTCTCAAAAGACAAAGGGAGAATATAGATATGATATGATATGATAAAAGGTAGATTATTGGATCTATTAAGAAGTAACTATTAGCCAGGCAGTGGTGGCGCACGCCTTTAATCCCAGCACTCAGGAGACAGAGACAGGCGGATCTCTGTGAGTTCGAGGCCAGCCTGGTCTAGAAGAGCTAGTTCCAGACAGGCTCCAAAGCCACAGAGAAACCCTGTCTCGAAAAACCAAAAAAAAAAAAAAAAAAAAAGTAACTATTAGTTTTAAATGTTTTACATTAGTTGTACTTTTATATATTGTATACAAATTTTGTATATTGACACAAATTTGAGATTAATTTTGTTAAAACATACTGTACATACATTTCTAATCTTGTTCAAGGTATCATACCCATACAGCTCAGTTAACAATGTAGTGCAGAGCTTGGCGGTATGCACACCTTTAATCCCAGCACTCAGGAGGCAGAGGTAGGAAGATCTCTGTGAGTTCAGGGCTATCCTGGTCTACAAGAGCTAGTTACAGGACAGGCTCCAAAGCTACAGAGAAACCAGGTCTCAAAAACCAAAACCAAATAAACAAACAAAAACAATGTAATGCAAATTTCTAGTTCTTAAAAATTATTACCAACTCTTTAAGATAATAAGGAAATATAGGTTACTAGTTAATCACCTAGTATAATCAAATTTGTAGTCACATTAGGTATGTTTCATGGCAAACAAAGATACCTTTTAGATATACAGGTCACCTTCAAACACTTCAGAGATCTACAGAATATGGCATTTAAGATGTTTTAATAACCTAGGTTGTTGTTGTTCTTTTTTTTTGAGACAGGGTTTCTCTGTAGCTTTGGAGCCTGTCCTGGAACTAGCTCTTGTAGACCAGGCTGGCCTCGAACTCACAAAGATCTGCCTGCCTCTGCCTCCCAAGTGCTGGGATTAAAGGTGTGTGCCACCACTGCCTGGCTGGTACTTCTTTTTTATGACATTGAGACATATCTGCTCCTGTCAGCACCAATCTACTTCAGAGAAGATCATGATCATCAAAGAAGCTCCACGGGGAGTATACTTTCTTTGTGGCAAAAGTAAGTCACTGGGTAAGAAAATGCCCCTGCCTCAACTTCTGACAGTATGCTGTCCTAATGAGACAAGCAGAACACAAAATATCCTGCTTCACAGAAAAGCCTGCTGGACATGTTAGGCCTGTAGGCCAAAGATGGATGCTCTAACGCTGCAGAGGAACTTTGGCTCTGGGGTGACTTGATCTGCTGTGATATGCAGACAATTTCCCAGAGGACAAATAAACTAAAAGCGTAAAACAAAACAAAACAAAACAAATAAAAACCCACCAAGCCAGCCAGCCACAAAACCATTATCTACAATGGTGTACTATCTGCAAGATAGGCTAGGGCAATAGTGGCATAAAGCTCATGGGAGTAACCAACCAAAAACTGGCTTGACTTAAGACCCACTCCACAAGATGAAACTTACACCTGACACTGGGTGACCGAGAACCGGAGACAGCCCAGGACCCTAGGGTAAAACTAAAGAGTACTGGTCTACAAAAGAAAAAAAGTGTAGTGATAAGATGGCTCCTAATGATATTCTGCTAGACTCATAGATTAGTGCCTTATTCAGCCAGCTTCAGATATGATGCAGCAGATGGGAAATAGAGACCCACAGCCAGACATTACACAGGAAGTGAGAGGCCGAACACTCAACCCCAAATGGGGGGGTCTCCATCAAATCCCTCCCTTCAGAGTTCAGAGAATCCCACGGAAGAGGAGGTGGAGAGAATGTAAGAGCCAGAGGGATGGAGGACACCAAGCAAACAAGGGCCTCTAAATCAACTGAGCAAAACTCATGTAAACTCAGACTGAAGCTGCAAGCTCAGAGCCTGCATAGTATATATTATGTATATTATGTATTACGAGTAGATATTATGCCTTACATTTATGGTTTTTATGGGATGGATTCCTGAGCGTGCAAACAATCAAGTCTCTGATTCTTGTGTTTTCTCTTGGCTCTTTTCTTTTGTTGGTTTGTATTGTCCAACTTTGATGATAGTTTTTGTTATTTTATTTTAAAAATGAATGAAGGAATGAATGAAAAACCTAGCCACAGGGTAAAGGGTAATAACTGAATTTTCATTTATGTCTGCTGGAAAAGGTAAAGTCATTTCTTCAGTGGAGTGACACTGGGTGTATCAACCACTCCAGGGCAGGCCACATGTCCAGCAGTAGTTAACCAACATATAATGAACTCCATAGTGTTTTGTGTGTGCTTTTATCTGGTTACAGTTTGTTATTTTTATCTGTTTGGGTGTTATTTTGTTTTCTTGGTTGGGAGGGTTGATGTGTATTTGTTTTTTGATTGTTGGGTGGGTGTGTAGGGAGAGGATCTGGAAGGACTTTGGGGAGGGGAAGAATATGATCCAAATATATTTAAATTTAAAAGCTGTTTTAAATTAAAGAAAAAAAGTGGAAGAAATAGTCTTTCTCATGGGCGATCACACCAATTAAGTACAAGATGATAAGCCCTGGAAAGGACAGATAAAATTATACAGATTGAGCAGGTTTTAATTAGGAATATATATGTATATGTGTGTACATATATGCATATAACAACACTTAGTGAAAAAAGAAGCCATAAATTTGAGATGGAGCAAGGAGGGGTATATGGGTTGACTTGGAGGTGGAAAGGGAGAAAGGATGTAATTATATTAATCTCAAAAATAAAGTAAACTGGAAAGGTGGCTCAGAGATTAAGAGCACTGACTGCTTTTCCAGAAATCCTGAGTTCAATTCTGGGCAACCACACTGAGGCTCACAACCATCTATAATGAGATCTGGTGCCCTCTTCTGGCATGCATGCAGAATCCTGTATACATAATAAATAAATAAATCTTTAAAAAATTGAAGTAATAAAGAGAATCTTTCCACTTCAAATGATTTAATCCCTCACAGCCTTTTGGTTTTTAGTTAATTCCAGATGTAGTCAGGTTGACAACCGAGAATAGCCATCATGGTGGGCAGTGGTGGTGCACACCTTTACCCCAGCACTCTAGAGGCAGAGGCAAGTGGATCTCTGAGTTTGAGGCCAGCCTGATCTAAAGAATGAGTTCCAGGGGCAGCCAGGGCTACAAGGAGAAACCCTGCCTCAAAAGAATAGTCTCCACAATGTGTTATTTAGCAAGGTCACTGATCAGTGAATAGGGGAATAAGTCTGCCATGGGCCCGAAGAGTCTCTGCACTTCCAGCCAACAGAGCATGGCCTTGAAAGGTCTTGATATTGAGTACACAGACAATTAATTCGGCCAACTTAACTATAGTAACTATAGTAAAATTTTGTTTCTATGTAGAGGTCAGAGGTCAGCTTTATTTGTGGCTTACTAAAGAAAAGTACTGAAAGCACTGAAAGTGAGGAGCGTTTGCCCAGCATGCCCAGACCTTGGATTAGAGCGGCAAAAATTCAATGACTTGAATGGATGAATCAATAATATTTACCAAGAATGCTGAGCCTTTGGCCCTGGTTGCGTCAGCCCTGGCAAATCTGTCGTGCCATTATCTGGGCCTGCTGTATCATCCTCACTGACTTAAGGGCAGGACACCAGGTGATATGAAGGCTAGGATTATATAAGCTCTTTTGACAGTGGGTCACCGTTTCACCGTAGCATGAAAGAGCTGTATGTGTACATCTAAATGTGTGCACGGGGTAATTTAGGACCCTTTACTTACAAACTGAAAAGCAACTGGCCCACCTTCCTTCATCGAAGGCCCAGAGCAGGAGTGCAGAAAGGCAGTGCAGATGGGGTACAGAACCAGAGTTCCGTTCCATTGCCTCAGCTTGCTCTGGCCCTTGCTAGAGGGTCCCTAAAAGTTCCAGCTAAGATCAGCCAGAGCATTTGGCACCCACCTATAACCCCAGTACTGGGCGGGAAGCAGAGGCAGGACAGGCCTGTCTGGCTTACAGAGGGAGACCCGTCTAACCAAACTAAACCAAATCAAACCAGAACAAAACAATGTACCAGTGGAAGGCAAAAACAGAGGTGAAGTCAGGAGAGCAGAGAAGGAGGTGAGGAGCAGTGGAGGGAGGCTTTCTCTCCCCAAGTTAGGAATTCATTTCCCTTGAGGTCTCATTGGGAAGTAACAATTACTGTCTTTACCCACACTCCTACTAGCCAGGGGTGTAACACTTTCATGACAAGTTACTCCCCCAGTCATTTGTTGCCATATCTTTTGGCCGGCAGGCTAAGTCAACCTGAGTTCTTTCAGAAACCTTACTCCTCCACTCCCCTGGCGGCAGCAACAGGCTCTTGCTGCTTCAAGATGCAACCAAAGCTCACAGCTTGTTGGAAACGCTTCCCATCTGGGAGTCTGCTGTCTCCCCGCAACATCCTTGCACTTTTTAGGTCGCAGGAGAATCACTACTGTTTTTATTTGTACTTCTAGAGGAGAACTCCCTACTTCGGACGGTTTTGGTGTCTCCAGCAGTATCTTGTTACACCCAGGCAAGCCTAGCGCATTGTCAGTGGCTTGCGGCGTTTGTTTTCCACAAGGCAGTGGGAAGGAAGAATGGTGGGCCCAAGGCCGATCCTCCAACCACACTGCTACACAGGGCCACTCAGCCCAACGCCAGGCGCTGGAGATAGAGGGTGCGAGAGCAGCTCGGGTCTCCTGGACTCTCAAGCTTCGTACAAACCCATTGGCCTCCCACAGACCAGAGCAGGCGGTTGACCGCGAGCGCTTCTTGGCGCGCGCTCGCGCACCCCGTGGAGTGATCATAGAGTGACACGGACAGGCAGAGCGGCCAGGACCTGCCCGCTTCCGGTAGCGCCACATTGCTCCGGGAGCTGCCGCGTACGCAGTTTCCATGGGGACTGAACATGGCGCCGCGAGGTGAGACTCCGGAGGTGTGTGTCTCTGCCCACTGTCCATTGGTACCTGCCAGTCCCTCCACCTCTCTGCTCTCCAGAGCTCGACTTAGTCCCCCATTCTTAAAAGTTGAGGGTCTCACTCTTCATTTGTCCCAGTCAGGCTTGCGTTGCTCTGACCACCCCGAGTGCCCGCATGTGTAGAACTCGGATACTGTACCCTTAACAATCCCGGGCTGGCCCTTTTCTGGGATGACTCAGTTACGAATCCTCTAGCCTTGCACAGACCCGCTGCTGGCCTCTGCGCCCCGGTTTCCCCTTCAGCTGTGACAGGGTTGGATCTTTGAGGTGCCTCTCAGTTGTGATGATAGCTGAATTGCCAGAAAAGTCGCCTGCAAATAATTCCTGGAAAAGGAGGTCGAAGACCAGCCCCTTCACATCCACACTCACACTTCATAAGCAATCAGAAGTTTCTCCCTCCTTCACCACGATCTTGTGTTTTCTTCGGATTACAGAGCCATACAGGGAGTAGAGCTCCAGCCCATCTTTGTGTTGCTCTTTTTCAGATAAAAGGTTGTCCTCAACCCCTCTGGAAGTCCTGTTCTTTCTAAATGGGTGGTACTATGCCACCTATTTCCTGCTGGAGCTCCTCATTTTCCTGTATAAAGGTAAGGCTGGGCTTGACTGCCTCTGCCCCAACAGCTCTTTCCCTCTTTAGCCCAACGCCAACTCCCACCAAGAACTGTTCATTCTTTTCTGGCCCCTACAGCATGTCTCTTCACTGCAAGGCAGAAGTCTCTTCAGCTGATGGCTTTAGAACGATTCAGTAGGAAATCTCTCGCAGCAAGAGTATCTTGAGTTTGGGAAATGTGGGCTTCTCCATCCTGACTCTTCCCCATCTGTTTCTGCTGAAATATTCAGATCTCTGTACCATTATAATTCATTCATTCGACAGAGAGGAACCCCCACAGACTTAGTAAAAAAGCCTGCAGCTATAATGGTCCACACTTCTCTGGTTCGTGGGAAGCTAAGACTAGTGTCCTTGTTCCTGGGTGTGCGGCAGTCCTTGTGGGGACGGTTAGGTGGTGTTGCAGACTCTGGCTTTTCCACTGGCAGGTCTCTTGCTGCCGTACCCAACAGCCAACCTAGTCTTGGATGTGGTGATGCTGCTCCTTTATCTTGGCATTGAAGTAATACGACTGTTTTTTGGTAAGTGTTGTTCAGAAAATAGTTCTATTCCTTATGAGACATGCTGGAGACTGTAACCTGGTTAATAAGACAAAGAACATAACCTAGGCTATCAGAGGCTGGATCTGGTGGTATATCCCATTACTTCCCTATCAGAGGCTGGATCTGGTAGGATATCCCATTACTTCCCTGAAGCTTCAAGCTGCTGCTTCATGTCATATTTTAGGTCAAGATTCACCTGTGTGTTTCTGAGCGGGACTAGAGGCCGGCAGTAGCATTTGATCTTAGATATTCCTTTCCAGTTGCCTGACTGCTACAAGAGTTCCTACTTCTTTGCTTGGTTTGGGAGAGTAAGGCATTACAGGCCTAAAGAGTTCTAAGATTCCCTCCACTTCTCTAAACAAGGATTTCTCTAGAAGTTTTTAAACCCCAGAAACACAGAGAAAAACCCTTATTACTTCGAATGTATCGTCTCTTTTGAAAACAGTGATAAAATACAACCCAAGAGGAGGAAATGGTAAAGACCACATGTGTGTCTGGTGCCGACAGAGGTCAGAAGAAGGTGTCAGGCTAGAGAGATGGCTCAGTGGTTAGGAGGCCTTACTGCTTTTGGAGGAGGATCCCAGTTTGGTTCCCAGGATCAGGCAACTCACAGCTGTCTGTAACTCCAACTCCAATGTTGTCTTCTGACCTTTGTGAACACATATAAACACACAAGTAGGAATGAAAAGGAAAAAATAGAAGAGGGCATCAGATCCTTTGGAACTAGAGTTACAGATTATTGAGCTGCCATGTGGGTGCTGGGAACTGAAGCTAAGTCCTCAGGAAGATCAGCAATGGCCCTTAACACTGAGCCATCCATTTCTCTAGCCCTAAGTAACAGATATTTTTTTAAATATTTATTTATTATGTATACAATATTCTATCTGTATGCCTGAAGGCCAGAAGAGGGCACCAGACCTCTTTACAGGTGGTTGTGAGCCACCATGTGGTTGCTGGGAATTGAACTCAGGACCTTTGGAAGAGCAGGCAATGCTCTTAACCACTGAGCCATCTCTCCAGCCCCAGTAACAGATATTTTTAAGGCATTTCTAAAATTGTTTTCCATTTTAGTTGGAAAGTTTTTATTGTGTTTATATACACATACACATATGTACATTGTAGACTCATTTTTACATATACAATTTTTATGTTGCTTTATATATACATGTGGATTCAGATGCATATATGTTATACACACACACTTTGGTCTTGATTTTTTTGGATGATCTTAAACTATCGATTGTGACACCTTAGCCCTTGCTGTCATAGACTCTCGGTATAGACCAGGCTGGCCTCAAACTCGAGACCCACCTGTCTTTGCCTCCCAAATTTTTTCTTGATGCAGAATCCCATTGTTCCCTGCATAGTTAGAATGGAAGCAGGGCCTCTGGAATAAATGACTTCAATCATGTAGCACACTGAAGCTTCAAAGTTTTAGTTCAGTGGGCTTCACTTTTAAATATGACACCTCCCATTCAGGGTAATTTTTCTCTACTCTGCCCATCTGTCACATCCAGATACTTTCTGAGTTGAGGAAATACAAGCTGATGCCAGGAAAAGCAGTTACCACTTGGAGATGATTCAGGGGGCTGTGTTTTATAGGTACAAAGGGAAACCTCTGCCAGCGAAAGATGCCCCTTGGCATTAGTGTGGCCTTGACCTTCCCATCTGCCATGATGGCTTCATATTACCTGCTGCTGCAGACCTACGTGCTCCGCCTAGAAGCTATCATGAACAGCATCTTGCTCTTCTTTTGTGGCTCAGAGCTACTGCTTGAGATGCTCACGTTGGCCACCTTTTCCAGGTATTACTGTTGAGGGCTGGGTTCTCCACCCAGGGATGGATGCATTGCTCTTTGAAGGCATGAAAGGTGTAGGAAACTGGATTTGAAGAGGTGTCAATGGGGATGCCTTTTTTTACTTCCAGTAGGTAGGAAGGTTGCATGTGTATCTGCATATGTATGTTCACCTGTGTGCAGATACAAATATTCAGGTATGTGTGTGTGTGTATGTGCGCACGTGCATATCAGAGGTTTATACCAGATATCTTCATCAATCACTTTCCACCTTATATTGGAGTCTTTCACTTGAACCCAAAGCTCTCTGATTTGGCTAGTCCAGCTTGTCAAACTAGCTAGCTTACCCAAGGAATCCCATCTCTCCTTCCATGAGTACTGGTCTTCATGTTTGGGTGGCAAGTATTTTACTACTGAGCCATCTTTCCACTTCCAAAAGCTTCTTTTTAAGGAAGATAGTCTTCTGCTTTTTTTGGAATTAAGAAGCTTCAAATAGGTTGGATGGTGATAACGCATGCCTTTAATCCCAGCATTCGGGAGGCAGAGGCAGGTGAATCTCTGTGAGTTTGAGGCCAGCCTGGTCTACAGAACGAGTTCCAGGACAGCCAGGGCTACACAGAGAAACCCTATATCAAAAAATCCATACCAAAAAAAAAAGGGGGGGCTTCAAATATGCAGATTTCAAGCTAACTTTGTTGCTCAAATGTTTTTTTTTCTAAAAAAAAAAAGAATTTTTATTTTATGTGCATTGGCGATTTGCCTGCATGTATGTCTGTGTGAGGGATTCAGATCCCCCGCAACTTAAGTTACAGACAGTTGTGCGCTGAGCTGTCATGTGGATGCTTTGAATTGAACCTGGGTCCTCTGGAAGAACAGCCAGTGCTCTTAACTGCTGAGCCATCTCTCCAGCTACACTCACTGGTCTTTTAACAGTTTCTTTCTTTCTGCCTTTAGTATGGAGAGGATCTGAAGTACAAGAATTCCAGCTGGTAGCCCATCAGGGTGACAACACATTCTTCTGGTACTTCAGCCACACTTGTGAAAAGTGGTAGGTCATGTTGGCCTGGGAAAGGTTGTGTGGTTTTTCCTCTGAACAGACATTTGGGCATTGAGCACCTACTTGAGGTCACTGGCATCATCTTTAAACCAGGATCATCAGCAGGAGATACTGACCTTTTGTGGTAGGGAGGGGCAATGCTGTCCCCATCTTGATCTTTCTAACAGCTCCTACTGACCTCAAGTTCTCTTCCTTGGTCATCATGGCCAGAGTTCCTTGTGTGGACCATCTGAGCTTGTTGGGCTTCCAGCAGGACCTGAGCCACAGCACCTGTACATGTACCACATCTGTCTGCATGAGCATGAAAAGTAATGATGGTGGGCTCCTGGACTGAATCAAATCCCCCAACCCCAATGCTCAGAGATGGAGACCCAGAACCCTTTTAGTAGTTCATAGTATTTTTCTATTCTGATCATGAAGCAAACACGATTTTACAATAAAAAATATTTTCTGATGTGGGGCTGGTTGTCTTTTTAAAAAATATTTATTTATTTACTTATTTATTATGTATAATACAATATTCTGTTTTGTGTGTATGCCTGCAGGCCAGAAGAGGGCACCAGACCTCATTACAGATGGTTGTGAGCCACCATGTGGTTGCCAGGAATTGAACTCAGGACCTTTGGAAGAGCAGTCAGTGCTCTTAACCGCTGAGCCATCTCTCCAGCCCTGGTTGTCTTTTCTGTATGACACCTGTCTTTAAGTTCATCTCTTCTAAGTGAGGGCAGAGACTATCCCAACAGTGTGTTCTGAAGCTGTATTTAGTAGTAAAATGTAACACAAAGTTGTGAAACTGTCCCTCTGATCCTACCCACCCCCATGCCCAATTTGTAGCCTGAATCCCAATAGATACTGCCATCTTGTCTTCTTTGATCTGTCATTGGCAAAAGACTCTGAAATGTTCCACCTCTGTCCCAAGTTTGCTTGTGTCTAAGTTCTTTTCAGCATTGGCCACGTATAATCAGAAATTGGAAGTTTATTCTAAAACTGACCAAAATTTCTCCTTAGTTTAAAAGGAACATTTATTGGTCAGCATTTTGCTGCATATTGCCATGTATTTATTCCATAAATTACCAGGAGCCTTGAGGTCAGTCTTCTGTGTCAGGCCAATCCTGGGATATTTTTGTTTTCCTATGCTTCTTTTTAACCCCCCCCCCTTTTTTTTTTTTTAAATATTTATTTATTTATTATGTATACAATTCTTTCTGCATATATGCCTGCAGGCCAGAAGAGGGCACCAGAACTCATTACAGATGACTGTGAGCCACCATGTGGTTGCTGGGAATTGAACTCAGGACCTTTGGAAGAGCAGGCAATGCTCTTAACCACTGAGCCATCTCTCCAGCCCCCAACCCCCCCCTTTTTTTAATTAATGATTTATTTAAATTTATTGTCTGCATTGTTGTGAAAGTGTCAGATCCCCTTGAACTGGTGTTACAGTTGTGAGCTGCCATGTGGGCGCTGGGTCCTCTGGAAGAGCAGCCAGTGAGTGCTCTTAACTGCTAGCCACTTCTTCAGCCCCTTTTCCTAACTTTCTTAAGATTGTCATTCTATGGGCTCCACGGTCTAAGCACTGCTGCCTTTGTTTTCTCTTCTCCCTTGCCTCCTAGTTGTCCTTGAGTCTATAGTGAAAGATCAACCGCAAAAAAGTACAAAAATGTCTTCTGTGGTGTTCCCATCTCCTATTTCATTGAACACCAATTTTCTGCTTCTCATATTTGCTTTCTCTAGTTTTGCTTTGGTTAATGGCATAGAGTAGAGAGGAACCCATCCTCTGTGACTTTGACTTCATTAGTTTCAACCCCCTATCCAGGAGCACAAGGAACAGAAAGCTCAACTAAAGTGCAAGTGGCTTTTACATCTAATTGTTAAAGTTCAGAAGGGCCTTTTTTTTTTTTTTTTTTTTTAAAAAAATACTTTTTAAAATATATTTTAAATAATTTATTTAACTTTATGTGCATTGGTGTGAAGTTATCAGGTCCCCTGGAACTGAAGTTACTGACTGTTGAGTTTTAAGCTGCCATGTGGGTGCTGGGAATGAACCCCAGGCCTCTGGAAGAATAGCCAGTGTTCTTAACTTTGGAGCCATCTTTCAAGCATCCCAGAAGGGCCTTGAGACTCTACTCCAGTTTGCAGGCTTAGAAGTGAGAAGCAAAAGCACAGGTAGAACTCTTAAGTCTGTTTTACAAGTCAATATGCACAAAGTAAATAGAAACCCAGCAGGGCAGAGTGGTGTACACCCACAGTGCCACTGAGGATGAGGTTTAATGGCTGAATGTACTGATTAGGAAGCTATTTCACTTATGCTTATGTGGAAGCTTAGTTCACTGGTTCCCATGGATGACTCCTTGTTCTTGATGTTGCTGGAACCACTTGAATAGTTATGCACAAGAGAAACCAAGACAGTCACGGCATGTGTCCCAACCACTTCGGAAGTAAGGATGAAACTAACCTGGGGCCCCATCTCAAGACCGTAGACCACAACACTGTACTGTGATCATGAAGCAAACACTATAATAAATATGTTTCTACAAGTTTTTTAAGATGGGGGGGTCCTCATGTTTACAGGTAGTTTCAAATGATCCTCCTGTTTCAAATTCCCAGTGCTACCAGTATACCACTATCTGGCCTGGTTGTATTTTATTCTTCTTGAGACAGGGATTCTCTACTTAGTCCACTCTGATCTCAAACTATCCTCCTGCTTCACTCTTTTCAGTGCTGAAATTATCTGGCCTAGAGATATACTGATAAAGAGTAAGACAAGCTACTTTATAGACCTGGAGGCACCAACATTCTAAGACAATACAAAGTCTTTGGGGACATAAAAAGCCAATGACTGGATGTTAAATGGAGCAAACCTGGTACTTAGCAAGCATAGTAGGTATCTGACATGCAAGTGATCATTCACCCCTTTGTGAAAACACATTTCAATAGTGACACTAGAAAATTAAGCCCCTCCAAGAATTTTTTCCCTGATAGCAGTATACAGTATCATCTGGTCTGCAGTTTTTCTTTTTGTCATGTAAGTCTACTCTTACTTCACTTAAAAAAAAAATAACTGGATGTGGTGGTATATCCATATATCCCAGCACTTTGGGAGGTGAAGAAGGACCAGTTCATTGTCAGCCTAGGATATAAGAGACTGTCTTAAAAAACAAAGGGCTGGTGTGATTGATTGATTGATGGTTCAGTGGGGGGTTAAGGTGAAAAGCCTGACCAGAGTTGATTCCCTAGGAACCACACGGTAGAAAGAGAACAAAGATTCCAAGTTGTCTTGACCTCCAGACATATGCCTATGTGCATGCATGAAGCCAGCCAGCCAGACACACATGCACTAATGTATGCATTGAAAAACAAACAAAACCCAAGTAACCTTTATGGATTCTGAATCTGATTCCTACATTCAGGTACCCAAACTTAAGATACCAAATTTTAGGGACCAGCTCATCATCCTTGGGCAGCAGTGACATTTCAGTACTTAACTCCTCTTGTCATATTTGTCCAAACAAGCAAATTGTTAAGATATGACTACTTTGCCAGTGGGCCTTTATCTGTGTTGCTTTAAAAGGAGAGCTCTTCTGGAAATCCCTCAGTATTTCTAAGCTTTCTAGTTTCTTCTTCATATATTTATATGTCAATTCTGTTCACAAAACACATGATTATGTGATTCCTAAAGCATCCTTAATACGAAGGCAGAACAGCAATTATTCTCATTTTTCATGAGAGACTGGGGTCACATTGCTTGTCTATGGTTAGCAGATGGAAGACCTAAGTATTAGCATTCAGGTGTTCATGCCCAACTGGATACCACTAGAATTCCACAGGGTAGAAAACACAATCTGCAAGTAGGGCTCAAGAACCATGAGTGCTCAGGATGACTTGGAAGTCTTTTTAACTCAGGGAAAGGACAAACTGTGAGGGGCACAAGCAAAGGTTCAAATTGTACTCCTCGGAGACTCACCATGTCAGCTAAAGCTGTGGAGAAACGACTGCATATCACCAAGTTACAGTTAAGAACCTGAATTTCCCTACATCACATAGTATTGTTATCAGTCCACACCCATGCCCAGACACCTCAACAAATCTATTCAATGCAGAATCCGTAAACAGCTCACACCCCATTTATTATTTAAAAATATTTTGTTACAAAAGGAAAAAAATACAATGCAGTATAAAAGATTGACATCGTCATCAAGTTTATTACACAATTTTCAACCTATCAGAAAGACAAACAAATCACTGACAACAGGGGGACGGGGCCTTGACCTTTTGAGGGCTGGGATTTTTTTTTTCTCCCTTTGCTATGAGGAATAAAACTAAAAATTCTGTCATTGAGTAAAAACAAAAAAAACGGGGAGAAAATAATTCTCCAGGTAAACAGCTTTTCTGATATTTTATATATTGTTTTTCCTTAACTGTCAGTTTACTTGGTTTTCTCTACATTTTAAAAAGACACCCCACACTGCTTTCAAGAATAAGCACATCACTTAACACTTAGCCAATTGGGCAGGGTGCCAGCCATGTTCTGAAGTGGAATAAGGATCGGCTTGGGAGGCAGGAAGATAAGCTACAACTTGTAGCCTCTGTCCCAAGTGAATGAGCCTCTCAAACCCTAGGGGATACTCCCTCAGTGACTGAAGTGTGCTGCAAAGAGAGGAAGGATCCAATTCAGTTTCTCTCCTCTGAGTCTACTGGGTCTCCAATGACCCCCTGCCTCATACACCTAGTCTGATCTCACATGCCACATCTCTTTTCACATTAGATGTCATAGACCCTGCAGATGCATGCAGAAGGAACATCACCCTATGGTACTCCAGGACTGTGGCTACCTCCTGCAGGAGCAACCTATCACAATTTGGATGCTGAGAAAAGCAATTCCATCTGCCTGTGCAGAAAATAGTCACCCGTGTGCTGGTCCTTAGAACTCTGAGCTGAGTTCACTTAAATCAGGCTTCACTTCTTCTCTGTTCTTTGTCAAAGGCAGGAAGCACCTCCAGGCCAAGTGGGGGGGAGTATTATAGCCAAAGGGGGGGAAAAAACACAAAACACCACATCTGTGACTTTACCTGCCTATTAGTGCTGAGTAATCCCACAATAAGTCAAAGAATGTACCGTGGGGATGCAAGCCCATGCTTACATCAAACCTGAAAAAGAAGAGCCCATGCAAGTAGGCCACATCCTGCTCAAATTGCTTTCTTCCCCACACTCCTGGTACGTAACTAGGGGTCCTCATTACTGAGGTCCCATGACATCCCTATGTCCCAAAGGCAGTACCTTCCTCTAAAACAAGGAAGAAGCCTTCTTGGGGGAAGGAATCCATGTTAAATGGAAAGCCCCAGGGAAAGGGAACACCTAAGAGCTGGTTATTGCAACAGACAACTGAGCCTGAAGCAGTAAATGGTGGTAATTGGCTTGGCTAGGCTTCCAGGAGAAAGCAACCTCCTGGGTTTTGCTTTCGAGGGGCAAGTCCACTGAGGAATCAGATAGCAAGGAGTCAAAAGGATTTAGCCCTCTAGAAGGCCAGGGAAATAAACCATCAATACGTGAGAGAGAAAACCTAGAACAGCAGCTTGTCACAAGGTAGTTTCTGTTCTCATGGTCCCTCCTCAAAGGGCTACAAAGGTAAAGAGTTGAACAAAGAAGTGGTATGTTAGCAGGGTTTGGACCCTCTTGCCCCCACCAAATCTAGTACCGAGGGCAGAACCCTTAGGTATTTTTGGCACACCCAGTCATTCTTCTAAGATCCCACAAAGAGGATCCGTTTTCTCTGGGAAGGAAGTTTTCTCAGTAATCTCACCATTGACTGCTCCTGGGGAATCAGAAACTCAGGTTTCCTTGGACAAAGCACCATTCTCTATGGAGACTAGGGGCTGGACACATTGCTGTCTTCCTGTCTGCCCCCATTTCCTACCCCATAAAGTCTTTAGGTTCTTCCCCTTCTGGCAAACAGGAGGTGTGGGATTGGGAGGGCTGCCAAGCCATCTTCAATCCTGTAGGGCAGAGGGTATTGCCTGGAGGAAGTTAGGGGTTTGGAAGAGGGGAAAGGGGTGGAGCGGCCTCCGTCCTTTAGTCCTGATCAAGGTGAGGAGATGCAAGTCCATTAAAAACAATTTGCTTCCACCCAGACTCCTGCAATGAAAGTACCAGAAGAAAACACCAGTTAGAGGCCACTCTCATTAGTAAGGGGTTATATGAGATACACTGGCTTTTCCTAAAATCACAACCTAAGTCAGAATGTAGGCAAAGAATGCAAGCTTAGCAAAGTAGAAAACAGTGGACTGTCTGGCATCGAGTAATGTGAGGAGATGGGTGGAGAGAACACAATGAGAGATTAAGAATAACCAAAATGGTGACATCTTTAAGGTCAAGAGGAAAACACAGACAATGGAATGAGGTCTCTGAAAGCAGTCTGAGAATATATTAGCAGGAAGATAGGAACTAACATTTCAAGAGAAGTTGCTGTAAGGAAAGACTGTTTCAGAAAATCTGCTCTGAGCAAGTCATAGCTTACCTTAAGGGAGGAAAAAAAAAAGAACAAAGAGAAAGAAAAAGAAAAAGAACAGGAGAAATAATAGTAAGAAAACAAGTGTGTATACAACCAAGTCCACCAATCCCCAAACACCTCAGAGGTTCCAGCAGGACACTCCCAAAGCAAACGCCTCAGTATCTGTTTTCTTTTAAAGCAGTCCTGGTCAGAACAGACTTCAAAAAGCAAGCTGGGTGGTGGTGGTGCACGCCTTTAATCCCAGCACTCGGGAGGCAGAGGCAGGTGGATCTGGATCTCTGGGAGTTCGAGGCCAGCCTGGTCTACAAGAGCTAGTTCCGGGACAGGCACCAAAGCTACAGAGAAACCCTGTCTCAAAAAAACAAAAAAACAAAACAAAAAACACACACCCCCAAACCCAACCAAAACCCCACAAACCAAACCAAAATACAGATTCCAAACAGTATGCTATGCACATGCACACAGACACACAGCACCAGAGCCTTTCCAGGCTGTACTGAACAAAATACAGATAATTTTAAGACTCTTCCCAGATAGCAGTTGTGGATGAGGACCCAAAGGTACAGGAACACCAACCAGGAATGACTTGGCCAAGCCAGAACCAAAGCAGAGCACGGAAGAAGAAAATAGTAGCCATCATCAAAAACATCTGACAGCTTGTTAAGAACCTTTACACCTGGGGCTGGAGAGGTGGCTCAGAGGATAGGAGCACTGGCTGCTCTTCCAGAGGTCCTGAGTTCAATTCCCAGCAACCACATGGTGGCTCACAATCATCTGTAATGAGGTCTGGTGCCCTCTTCTGGCCCACAGGGATACATGCAGACAGAATATTGTATATCTAATAAATAAATGAATCTTAAAAAAAAAAAAAAAGAACCTTTACACCCAACAAGAAGGGTCTGCTAGACTACCTATCACATTTTTAAATGTTAAGGTCCCTAGCAAACCTGAAATATGCAGATGGTAGTTGGTCACTTGATAATATAATCAGGACCAACAATCAGAAAGAAAGGGAAGAATTAAATTCAGGTCTAGTATGTTTACTAAACTGAACCCGGAACTGCAACAATATGCAAATTCTTACCCTTGATATAAGTCTCACAAATCTTGTAAGAGTCACCCAAGAAGACATAAACACACCAAAGACGTCTGCATGCTGCCTCATCCTCCTAACCCTGGGTTGGTACTACCTGAGTCTGCTACTCAGAAATCTGTATGATCTTCATCTTGCTGGCATCTTTAAACATATGTGCAAGTATTTGTCCCTTTTTCTATAAAGAAAAACTAAAGCTCTTAGTGCTTTCTTTGTTTCCTAACATTCAGGCTTCTGAATGTTGTTTTCTCAAGACAGGGCCCTGCTGTGTAGCTTAGACTTGCTTTGAAATCATGATCCTCCTCCCTTAGTCTTCCAAGTGCTGACTACAGACATGTACTATCACAATTGGCTGAATCTTTAAGCCAATTTCTGTTCACACCTGAACAGAAAGCCCAGTATTCAATGGATCAGCAGGGTATGAAATGAGAATGATTCTATTCCAAGTAAGAAACACCCCGAAATTATGGGACTATTAGAGAGAGTTGAAGACAAAGACCACCTAGAATACCCTCAAACTCCAAAGCATACATACATACATGCTCTGAAGAAAGGCATTTGTGAAGGGTCCTTACAGAATGAGATGCAGAGGATAACTGATACTGGCAGTAGTGCCTGAATGCAGACAGAAGTCAGAGATCCATCACTTTAGCCAACTGAGCTGGGGCCCTCTCCTGAGGAACAGAAGAGGGTATTGCTCTTCCATTGATGCCTCTGCACAAAACATACCTTTCCTGATCAGGGAACACATGTTCACAGCACAGAATATCTTTTAAAGAAAAGATGTTGTAAATGCTGTTCAAATGGCTTGGAGGAGTAAGGACTTCACAGACAGACCTGTACAGCATTTCCCCAACATGAAACCTAAACTACAATTTAGTAAATGAAGATAGAATTCAGACTACCATGAAAATTAAAGATGATTTTTTTTAACCTCTTTAAAGTGTCTGACTTGTACATATATGTTAGAGGAAAGGAAAAGAAGTGATGTGAAAAACTTACCCAAGAGTGAGCTTTCCTCATTTCATCACAGGCCTGTACCAGTAAAATAAATGTTTTTCTTAACTACCAAAAGAGGCCTTTCTTGCTGGCAATTTCACTGTCAAAAGGTTGTCAAAGGAGCAAAGCCAGCAGGAATGGTGATACACAGTCAGATATTCTATAAATACACTGAATATGGCTTGAGACTACAACTGCTGCTTTGTACAGCTCCCTTCCTGGTCATTTTTCTCTTTATTTTTAAAAGACAGGGTTTCCCTGTGTAGTCCTTGCTGTTCTGAATCTAGCTCTGTAGACCAGGCTGGCTTTCAAGTCAACAGATCTGCCTGCCTCCACCTCCTGAGGGCTGGGATTAAAGGTGTACATCACTCCTAGGTCACTCTTATTCCCTCCAATTCCAAAGAATACACACTACATAATAGGAGGAGGTGATGTCTTTTCTCCTTTCTTTCTTTCTTTCTTTCTTTCTTTCTTTCTTTCTTTCTTTCTGTCTGTCTGTCTGTCTGTCTGTCTGTCTGTCTGTCTGTCTGTCTGTCTTTTTTAAACAAGGTCCTGCTAACCCTGGCTACCCTTCAACTTGTGGTTCTTTTGTCTAGGTCTCCTGAGTACTAGGCATTACAAGTTTGATCACAACACCCAGTGCTGGCTGTTTTGGATTTCAAGTAATTCTTCGGTTGTACTAGCTCAAAAGAGGTGATGCTGCTACTTACTGAAGGGAAGGGGTAATAGACCAAGACATCCATGCCTACCTTGTCCATCCCCAACAAGAAAGAAGGCCAAAGCCACTCATGGGCTACATCTTCATTAACCTGCATTTCCACAGGCTATGTATGTTATGTGAACACCTTTCAAAACTCAATTTGTTGCAAAAATGTAGAAAGACAAACAGAATATATTCAGAGCTAAACTGTTGGCTTTTTATGCTGGTTATCCAACATTTTAGAATTCCATGAGGTAAGTAAAGAACACAGAAAGTATTAGCCTGTTTGTTTTCTAAAGAAAGAGAGAAAGAAGGCATGGAGTGTGATGGCTTTGGAGGATCTGGGAGGAGATGAAGAAGGGGAAACCATGACCAGATTATGCTATGTAGAAAAAAAATATTAAAAAGACAAGATAAAGGGAAACATAAAGCTAAAAAAAAAAAGGACTGAGAAAGGTGTAGACTGAAAATATTAGTAATTGTTATCATTCCATTTACTTTCTATCAAAGATGACAAAAACACTCTCAGCTATAAAACTGTTTATAAAACTGTTTAAGTAAAGTGCCAGGTGGTTTTTGATCCCAGCTCTCAAAGAGTCAAGAGGCAGGAAGATCTTTGGGAGTTCGAAGCCAGTCTGATCTAATGAGTCCAGGACAGTCAAGACCACATAAAAGAGACCATTTCACAAAACCAAAAAAAAAGGCAGATAACACCAAGAAAGCAGAGGGCAAACATAAGGGAATGTTTTATTGTTTGCTAGTAGGTTGTACCTAGGCAGAATGCTGCAGAACTTTCAAAAGGTTTGAGTTTACCGTGACCTATAAGAATGCACAAGGGAAAAGGGTTCCCAGTCTCTTTTATCCAGTCATCCATAGAGCTACACAACCTGATCAACTACATTACTTCCAAACAATCAGGCAGACAACAGCCCAGACAGATCCATCTAGCCAAATTCTGCTCTGTTTTATACATCTCCAGACACAGAACCAACAGCCATTCTTTCTTACACCACAAACAATCCTTGTTAGTAGCTTTCTTTCAGTTTGGATTACAAAATGGTGGGATAAAACTCAAGAGCCATAGGCTCATTCTCCAAGAAATCTTTCTATGAATGAAAATATAGAAAAGTAGAGCTGAGAGGGAGCCTAAGTCCTGGTGACACAGTCCCCAAGCCAGACAATCAACCTAACTTTAATTACCCACACTCCTGCTTTTACAAAACTTATTAAAAACAAAAATATCCTTCTATTATAATTATTCATAAGGTCTCTAAAGCTTTTCAAGATTTTTCAGAATGGTTTTTCTACTCTAAAATTCCAATTTTCAAAATCTTTTTAATGGATATCAATTCTTGAAGTCATTAATATTGTTTTATGAAAACTAAAGTAACAATCTCTTCTGCCTTGGCCAGTTTTCCCTTTTACTTGAAATTTGGGATTAAAGTGTAATAATGGTAATAACAGTGGTTTTCATTTATTAAGAACTCAGGGGAGGAAGAAACATCTCTATTACAAATCTTCCTTTTGTTTTGAGAAAGGGTCTCACTTTGTAGTCCAGGGTGTCCTTCAACTCAAGGCAATCCTCCTGCCTTGACCTCACAAGTGCTGAGATTACAAGCATGAGCCACCATGCCCAGTTTATACTTAAACCACTGGTAAGGAACAGGGCTTCTTCCCACCTTTCTCAGTGGTGCCGGTCCCGTTCTCTATCCCGGTGTCTCTCATGCTCCCGGTTCCTCTCTTGGAAATAATCATCATGCCGGTCTTCATTATGAAGCAAGTCTCGGTGCCGCCTGCTGCTCTCCCGGGACCGGCTGGGTGACCTCTCCCTGGACCGATGCCTTTTCCTATCAGAAAGATCCTTCAGCCTCAACTCAGAGGGCCTACCACACATTCTTTCCACATGGGATTTTGTATCTTCCGGTGTTTGCTTAAAATATTCTTAGTTATCTATCATAGAAGTACTGTCTGAGGATCTTAGTTCTTTGATGTCTAATCTTTACAGGGAAAATGGATGATAGACTTGTCAAGATCTTACTAATATATTAGACAGGGTATTTAGAATTTTGCAAGTATTATGATTTCATCTTTATAACAGATCTATAGGTTAAGTACTAGGACTTTTCCCCTTAAGTTCTTAGAACATTACTAACTTCCATATTCAAGATGGTGCTGAAGAATTAAACCTAGGGCTTCATGAATGCTAGGCAAGTCTTATCATTGAGCTACTTCCTTAGCACGGAAGCCTGTGTTCTTTATTAGTCTTTTTTTTTTTTTTCTAAATAAGGCTACTGCTTCTACTGAACACAGATCTTGGTTTCTTTCATTTCCCAACCAACCTGCAGGAGAGTATTGCTCAAGGCCAATCAGCCCCCAAAGCAACCAACTCACCTGGAAGAGCTTCCACTGGCACCCACACTGTACGACTTGGCCTCTATGCCATGAAGACAGTCTTTAAGAGAGGATATGAGGACACGGCAACGCTCATCATTGGCGACTCGGGACTGTTTGATAACTGCAATGGCTGTGAGTAGTGTCTCAATGGCATCACTGTAATCCCCTGATAAGATGAAGGGAAAGGCCAAAGATGAGAAAAGGCAGTAACCAAACTGGACCAAAAGGAGGATGCAGGAAGACATAAATTGTGAGTGACTGGCTGCTTTAAAGAGTCACAGTAAAATGAACAAGGCAGACATAGCAGGTATAAAAATGAATGACAGTTATAGTACAGCTTGAAATCTGACAAAGGCTAATGGCCTTATAATCAATGCATCCTTGTCTAAGGGCTACTTGACAACACTGATTAAAATAAACTGTCCCAGGGCTAGAGAAATGGTTTAGCTGTTCAAATAAATCACTTGCTGGTCTTGTAGAGAATACAGGTTTGATTTCTAGCACATACACGACAGCTCACAACCACCCAATTTTAGGGAATCCAATAGGCCCCCGGGTCCCAAGGATGCATGTGGTACATATACACATGCAAAATATACACATAAGTCTATTATGTATACAGTATTCTATCTGTGTGTATGCCTGCAGGCCAGAAGAGGGCACCAGACCTCATTACAAATGGTTGTGAGCTACCATGTGGTTGCTGGGAATTGAACTCAGGACCTTTGGAAGAGCAGGCAATGATCTTAACCACTGAGCCATCTCCCCAGCCCCCCACATAAGTCTAAAACGTAAAAATAAACTGTACCTACATTTGAGCCAACAATTCTAAAAAGTTTCTGTTCACAGAGCTGTGTAAGCTTAGCCATGTTTTAATAATATTGTTTGCTTTATCTTTGCTAGGACCTGGCTAGGCTACATAAATTAAGGAACAATGGCTCTGCAGATTACTAGTTGTTAAACTCATGAGGTTAGTTTGTAGGCAAATAAAGTAATCTATGTGAAATCTTTAGCATAGTGCCAAATACACAGCAGAGATCAACAAATATTAGATGTTAAGATATACTAATAACAAAGGTGTCTAAAATATAGGAAGTGAAAAGATAAAACCCAAAGAATCTTTTTGTTGCGGTGTGGGCTACTGGGGGGTTGAACCCAGAGCTTCAAGCATGCTAGGAGACTGATCTGTCACCAAGCTACATCACCAGCCTTGTAGTTCATTTTTAGGAAATCAAAATCATACATATGTTGTAATATGTGTACTCCCCCCAAAAAACTGGAGGAATACCCACCATTCACAGAAGGTGGTCGTGGTGGTCCTCACAGAGGATTTTCATTTATTCAGTTTTTTTTAAAATATTATATTATGCCTACATGTTACTTATTTCTTGCTTTTTTTGTTATTTCCAAAAGAGGGTCTCACTATATAACTCTAGCTGTTCTGTAACTCACTATATAGACCAGGTAAGCCTTGAAGTCACAGAGACCTCGCTGAATGTACACATTATTCTAAATTTATAATCATGTGTGTATTTTTTCTAACTCACACACCTCTGTTACATGTATATATGGAAGAATGGATGAAGAAAGTGTGGAATATATACACATTAGAATACTACTCAGCGGTAAAAAACAATGACTTCTCGAATTTTGCATGCAAATGGATGGAAATAGAACACACTATCCTGAGTGAGGTAACCCAGACCCAAAAAGATGAACATGGGATGTACTCACTCATAATTGGTTTCTAGAGATAAATAAAGGTCAGTGAGTCTATAATTTGATCTCCTAAAGAAGCTAAATAAGA